TTATATTTAAGATTTTATTTATTTATCTGTAGATGGATGCAATACCTTCATTCCATTCACTTCTGCATGGCGCTGAGGATCGAACCCAGTGCCCCACATATGCCATGCAAGTGCTCCACATTGAGCCACATCTMCAGCCCTTAAGAAACATTCTGAGGACGTSAAAACTAACTTTCTTGAAAAGATGTGACATTTATACATTTATCATCAGGGTTCTCCAAAGACTGAAGTCCAGGAGGCTGTCCAGGTGTGTTCATTATTCATCTCTGTATCCCTTACACTTAGCTGAAAGTCTGGTGCACCAGAAGTGTGTTCTCTAGATGATTTGACTAGTGCTTGCAATGCATGGCCAGTTGCTTGATATGACATAGAAAGTTTTATTGTAATGAACTCTATGTGATTAAATTCTGGGCCCTAAACACAGTGTTTGTAGCAAGTTCGCTCTCAAGTCCTTTGGTCTATAGCAATGTGTCTGCTGTGACTGTGGACGTTCCTGTTATCTTGTAGTTCTTTAAGGATTATAAAAACAATGATTTTCACTTTTATAACTCTCTAAATACATATGCTGGGCATGTGTGTCAGGATTTTGCTAATTCTTGATTAACATGCATCCTAAATGCTAACAGATGGTTGGCAACATAACCAACAAAAATTTTACTAAGCTTCTTCTCATTAATATAAACAGTTTGAATTATTGCCATCTTCCATGTATTCTAGAATATTCCTTTAGTCCCCTTCTCTCAGGGAAATAATTTGTTAAATAAATAAACATTCACTCTAGAAATGGAGAAAACAAGCTTTATTATAATGATTTGAGATTTTTTTGTGCATGGTAAAGATAYACACGAGTCTTGTTTCTCCTATGTTTCAAGACAGAATTAATTTAAAGTTTTATTGTAGACTAAAGCATCCAAAATACTGTGGTACGTATGTAGCTACGAACATACAAACACTTTGATGCACAGCGTTCATTCTTTAAATAGGCAGTCAGCATTTTGATTCATAAAATAACAAATGATAAGAATATATCAGTATCAATGTCAGAGAGCGCAAGACTTAGTGTTCTATACACAAAACATATGAAACGGACCTATAAAGATGGAATGTACAAAATCTAAAAAGAAAACAAAGGAAGCAAAAACCCTTCATACTCATACCTTGGATTGAAAGGCTATAGAGTTGAGAATGATACAAAAGAATTCTGTTACGAGAATACACTGTTGTGCTGGGGATTAGCTCAGTGGTGGAGCGCTTGACTACCATGCGCAAGGCCCTGGGTTTGATCCCCAGCACTGCAAAAAAAACCAAAAACACTCTTGATGACAGAACATTCCCCATGTCATAAAGCAAAAGCATTGAGTTGAGTTTAAGGCTGTGTTGCTTTCAAAAGTTAATGGAAGTGCTGTACATTCATTGGAACAACATAGCCAATTTATTAACCTATTCTAGAATATTAATAGCTTTCATACATTCTCCACAAACAGATCACACAATCACTGCCACACAATTCATCTTTAGAAAGTTTTTAAGATTAGCATCATGATTTGTAGCTTACTGTCATTTAAAACAAAACAAAAAAGTATTTATACCAAATAAATCTTTAATGGGCACTTAGTTTCCTTTATGGCAATGCTAGATTCCTAGATATCAAAAATATTAAAAATAATTGTAAAGTTTAAAACCCTGCAACATTTACAGAAAGCAACAGTATTATACGACTTCCGGTTAAAGCAAAATTAGATAAGGTCTGCATCAAATAGCTTCAATTTTATCCTGCCTGGAAATGCCTTGTTTTTAAATTATTCAACTAAAAACACTCCTCCCTTTTCAGAAGCTGGTGAATAGAGAGGATGTCATAGTATTCAAATGTACAAAAAGATTTTTCCCATTTGAAGTGATCTGCAAATTATTTGCTGTTGACTTGCTGTTTCCTCCAATTTATTCAGTAGGTATTACCTAAGCATTTATGTTGACCCTTCAGTATGAGGATCCATAGATACTAAGTAAGGTACTACTATTCCAGTTAATTCCATTCTAGGATACCCTGTATATTTAGTAGTGGAAGCAAGTGTGCAATAGTTGCGTGGATCTGGGGTATTAATTGGCCTCAAATCTAGTCTTAAGGAAACCTGGAGACTTGTTTAATTATGGGGTCTAAAACTTCACCAAAATACTATATGCCATTAAAAAAAATGGCAAACACAGTCATAAAGGCTTTTTATTTATGTGTTTCAGGATGGTCAAGTAACTCCCTCCATCCCCATGTCCAGCAGGGGAGGTCTGTATTGGGGGAAAATGCATCGTCACTGACCTTCAAATCCTAATTGGCAATACTATGCCATAAGTGCCCGGGGGAATTTTGAGTGASTACTTTCTCAGTGCTACTTATCATGAATGTATGACAGGTTCTATACACTTGACAAAGCGAAACCAAATAATAATGGTAGCCCAGAATAAAAGCCACTTATTTTAATATCCTTCTCAGTTTACCAGAAACCATTTTCCRTAGAATGTGACAAAATTTCATTTAAATCTTATCTATTTGTATCTTATCAGCAGCACTTTCTCCCCAAAATATGCTCACCAGAAATACAGTAAATGCACATATGTATCCAGGTATGAAATGTTATCTATATTTTAATATATATGATTACATATTTTGGGGGAAAAATATAGTGTTTCCTGGAGTGCCCATAGCATAGGTTTAGTTAAGAGACAGTGGAACAGGTCCAAATCAAACTATCTATACATCCATTCCCGTTTGTGCCAAAATTGACATGGAAATAAATTAACTATGTATTTAGATACTTGGCCTGATATGATATGATGGAGGCTGATTAATTTTTAAATTCATTTCTAAGTTCATAAGTACTTCAAAAAAAAAAAAGAAAGAAAGAAAGAAAGAAAAAAAAAAAAGAAAACCCTCTGTAGGTAAACTAGTTTTAAAATCAATAGTCTAGGGCTGGGGATGTAGCTCAATGGTAGAGCATTTACCTAGTATGTCAAGACCCTGGTTCAGTCCCCAGCACTGCAAAACCAGAGAAACAAACAAACAAACAAAAAACCCAACAGTCTGTGATAGAATTTAAATAGGAAGCCATTTACACTTATGAAAATAAACTAAAATTAACAACCAATTTAAAAGGTTTTCTTTTAAATAGTCCAGGAACTATTAAGAGTCTAGCCTCCCTTTTAGGCAGAACATTTTATAGTAAATGGCAAAATGAAATTCCTTCCCCCAGGATGTAAACTCCAAGGGGACAGGGATGTTTTTGTTTGTTTTATCTATTAGTCTATTCCCAGTGCCTAGAAGAGTGCCTAGAACCTGGAGGGACTCTGTAAATAGGAACATTTCAATTCAAAGTCTTGGGCTGCAGGTGCAGCTCAGTGGTAGAACTGGCGCTTACATCTGCAATTTCCAGCACCAAGAAAAAAATTAAAAAAAAAAAAATCAAAGACTTATTTCACTGGCATTAGGAAACAATGTCTTAGTTTAACATTCTAAAAATTTTATTGGATTTTATAACTTCATCACATAGACTTGATAATTCAAAAGCTAAAAAATTTAAAAAAATTAAAAAATACTAAACCTAAATGTTACTCTTTCTGAAAAAGCATTATTTTCAGAGCTGATTTGGGCATAATAAATTTAATGGACAACTGGAAGTTGCCAGATTCCCTTCCAATTTTTAAAAAGTCCTATATAGAGGATGGCTGAATTTTAAATTAATAAGTAATAAGCATCACATTCATATAATAATACGTACAGGAAATGTTTTCTTATAGTACAAGTTCTAAGGTGCTTTTAATGAAAATGATCCCAAAGTCATTATTGAAAACATCAAACATGACATCCTGTTTGGTAGAACTGRGTAGAAAATTAAACAGTGGAAACAGACTGCATCTTATTTTACAGTATCAATGACAGATTGACTAAATTGTTCTTAACATTTTTCAAAATGCATTTATACTTAGTTCAGATGTAAGTCCAGTTCAACTTTTATTTTGACCTGTTTTTCTCATTTTTCTTCTCTTTTGAAAACACAAGACGATCAGCCACCACCATCRTTCCCGGGAAATGGCAAACATCCAACCTGTGTTAGGGCTTGCTCCACAAGGGACGGCTTGAGCTGCATTAGTAAAGGAATGTGCTGAAGAATGGCTGGACAGAATGCTTCTGTCTTTCAGAGTGCTGCCTATTTCAATACACCAAAGCTAGATATATATTTATATTATACATTCTATCTTACCCTAATCATGTATACATAGTCCCTTGATACCTCTACTATTCATTGAACAATGATAAATAACCATAACATGCTCTTACCTGTAATGCTCTCGAGATAACAGAACTTTGGTAACACTCGCTAAGGGGAAATCATTAATCAATCCACATGCCTTTGGTTGACACCATCGGTCCTCCAAAGGGCTGCTTATGGCTCTCTGTCCTAGGATACTGGTGTCCTACTACATGTGCTGACATTTTGCAGAAGGTAAAGCTCTTGCTTTCATGAAGTGGAAGAGGAAAGAAAGACACATGTGAAAACATGGCACAGATAAAACGTGACCTTTTCTCGATTACGTTCCAGTATATTCATCTGGAGTTAATGGGGCTATTCGTTGACTGAAAGGTAGTATTACTTCTGTAAGATGATTTTTCAAAGCATCAGAGATTTTCAGGTTTCTCGGAAAATGTACTGTTTTCTGATACCAGGTGAATAGGAAAGAGAAGGTGAAAAGAACAGACAGAAAGGATCTTTGATCTAACCTAGAAAGGCTGGGAAATCTGCATTGACTCTCCAGTGTTGTCTGCAATTCAGAGCTGGGAGGATTTTGCAGGACAGCCTCAATTTTTTTTTTTTCTGAAGTAAGTAATATGTAGTTGTCGATTACCAGCTCCCCCCACCCAAAGAAGGAAAGAAAGAAAGAAAGAAAAAACCATACTGTAAAAGTGAGGTTAGAAGGTTCCGCAGGTCTTCTGACCTGGGTTAAATAAAGTATATAAGGACGACAGAATTTGTTTTTGGAAGCTCTGCGCAAAGGCTATCATTCACAGGATCAACAAATATTTTTACATATGCTAGTTTTTGTTTAATGTTTGTTTGATTTGCAAAATTAATTTAACTACATAAATCCCTGTCCTATAAGCCATAGTTCACAGGTGTAAAACTTCGCAGTTTGTATATTCAGTAGAAGACTTTTTTTTTTTTTTTAAACCCTAATGGTGAATTTTAGAAATTGGATGAGCAGTTTTTTAAGGAAATTGTTACATTCAGAAATAACCATGGAAAGTTCATCAACGATTCCTTCTAGCATGAAAAGTCTAGTCATAATCTGGTCCCGGGTGGAGAAATCCATTCCAGTTTATAGTGCAAGACCGTCTCGAGGGGACATCCGGCTGGCCACCGTTACTGTAGGTATCGATAAACCTTGAAACAGTGATTTCCAGAGTCTGCAACCACAACATGGCCGTCTGAAGTTAGGGCTAGGCCTTGGGGGCCGTAGAGCGGGTCAGCAGATGTGTTAATGTAGGACAAAAACGATCCACTCCCATCAAACACCTGTGAAAACAGAAAGCCAGATCATCAGGGAAGACGTGATGGTAATGTGCTGAAATACGGTTTACAGAACGCTGGATGCTAACGGCTTTAATATAAAAGTGTGCTCACTCCTAGGTTTTCTTAGACCCCTTGGGCATAGCCCTTCCCTCCACTCATTCTTACCTTGCTTCTCCTCCTGCCTCTCTTTACACCCAGAGTCACTGATAGAGAACACGCCCCTGGCTGCCAGATCTCCCTTGGATTCTGAAACTAGTCACACAATGATTTGGTGGGGACAGCACTGGATAGTGCTTAAAAAATGAATGAATCTTATTTTTCAGGCTGTTTTGACTTCTKTTCCTTCCAGCTTTAAATCTCCACCTCATGCCCACTCTTGCTTTGTTTTGGGTATTGGGGATTGAATTCAGGGGCACTGGACCACTGAGCCACATCCCTATTTTATATTTTTATTTAGAGACAGGGTCTCATTAAGTTGCCTAGCGCCTCATCTTTGCTGAGGCTGGCTTTGAACTTGCGATCCTCCTGCCTGAGCCTCCTGAGGTGCAGGGATTATGGGTGTGGACCACCTCACCTGGTTCACGCCCACTCTTAAGGAGAAAAATCAGCAACTAGGTCAAAGAATGATCCCGAGTTACAATGGGCTATGGCAAAAATCGAGATTTCTTTTTGCTTTTCCCAAAAGAGAATAAATTGTAAGAAGTCCATGGTTCAATGTGTATGGAAAAGGTCTTCTTTTTGGTTAATAACCTTCTTATAAAATAAAAGGAACAAATTGAGGTCCTTATGCTTTTTCTTTACCAGAGCCAGGCTGGTTTGTTTTGACCATATACCACTTTCTTTGGCCCACATGGCATTTTTGTTGTTGTTGTTGTTGTTGTTGGTAGTGATTTAACTCAGGATTGAATCCAGGAGCATTCCATCACTGAGACATATCCCCAGCCCTTTTAAAATTTTTTTTTGAGAGAGGGTCTCTCTAAATTGCTCAGGGACTTGCTAAGTTGCTGAGGCTGGCTTTGAACTTGTGATCCTCCTGCCTCAGTCTCCTGAGTCACTGGGATTTACAGGCATGTGTCACCGCTATCRCTGGCCCACTTCGTGTTTTAAAAGGCAGTGTAACTAGTGGTGCTATGAGGGCCACAATTTTTAGYACTGATGGTCCCATATAGTCCTATTTAGTGAACTTGGTTTAGTTCAGTGGTACATTAGACCCTTGACATAGTTCTCATGAGATACAGAATGTCTCTTTCAATATAGATGTCCTCTGGGATAATTAAGCAAGGTAAGTAAGTATATTGGAGAAATCAAAGCATTTGTTACATTTATAGTCTCAATTCTTTTCCTGAGGAAGTACCTGTTTCATATTCAAACTGAGGATGGAAGCTGTCCTCACAGAGACACCTGAAAGTGGCTGGATTTGACAGTGCACCCTGGGTTTTCAGAAACACATAGGGCCACATTAGCAAGGATGAATAGTGCCATCTGGAAATATGTATTTAGATCCATGAAGGTATGAACACAGAGAAACTAGAGAACAGTCTTCCTTCAACTTGAGGATCCAAAAGCTTTGTTCGTAATGTGAAGAATTATGTTTTAGTGCTTTTTTTTTTTTTTCATTTCTGGAATGTAACCAATTAATCAACAGAACTATTACATCCTCATGAAGACCTTACTCTTGGTACTCCTTGAGAGTTACCCGACTACCCTGGTCCTGCTGCCCTCACAACCACTACTCTTTTTTTCCCTCTCTATAATTTTGTCATTTTTAGAACGTTACATAAATGGAATCACTTACTATGTGACCTTTTCAGAATGGCTTTTTCACTCACCACAATGCCCTTGAGACGCATCCAACCTATTGAGTGTATCATTAGCCTATTTTAAATGCTGAGTAGTATTCCATAGTGTGTGTGGAAATATCACAACTTGTTTAGCCATAAATCTACTGGGGGACATCTTGGTTAATTCAGTTTGGGGCTATTACAAATATACATTCTATGAATGACAGCATATAAGCTTTTAAGTGGACATAGTTTTCATTTCTCTGGGATACACTCTCAGTAATGCAACTCCTGGATCGCATAGTAAGTATATGTTTATAGTTTTTTAAAGAAACTGCCAAACTATTTTCAAGGTTGATTGTGCTATTATGTATTCCCACTAACAATGTAGTAGAGATCTAATTTCCCCACATTCTCACCTGTATTTGGCATTATCAATAGTTTTAATTTTAGCTGTTCAAATAGGATTGCAATAGTACCTCCTCATGGTCTTAATTTGCACTTTTCTAATGTCTAATGATGTTGAACATCTTTTCATGTTCAATATCAGTTCAATGAAACTTCTCTTTATCTCTCTTGTCCACTTTCTAATTAGATTGGTTATTTTATTGTTGAGTTCTGAGAGTCCTTACCAAGGATTGAACCCAGAGGTGCTTAACCGCCAAGTCACATCCCCCGACTATTTTTATATTTTATTTAGAGACAGGGTCTCCCTAAGTTGCTTACAGCCCTAAGTTGCTGAGGCTGGCTTTGAGTTCATAATCCTCCTGCCTCAGCCTCCAGAGCTGCTGGGATTACAGGCATGTGTCACTGCACCTGGCAGTTCTGAGTCTTTACACACACAAAGTGTAAGCCCTTCATCAGGAGTGTGGTTTGAATATGTGAAGGCTAGAGAGGAAAAAGGGACAGAAAGGGTGGGGAAGGGGATCTCATGAAAATCAAAGAGAAATAATAAAAACAGGAAAGGGAACAGGGCATGGGAGGATGGGGGAGAGCAGGGGCGACATACTGGGGACTAATATTGGCCAAATTATATTGTTACACTGTGTGCATGTTTGACTATGTAACTACAAATTCTACCATTATGTATAACTATAATGCACCAATAAAAAAAGTTGGAAAAAACATGTGGATTGTAAATATTTTCTCCCATGTCTGTTTGCCTCTATTTTTAGCCTTATCTCTTTTACAGATCCAGATGTTTATGTTTGATGAAGTCTAATTTATTGATTTTCCCCTTATGCATAGTAGTTTAGGCCTCCTGTTAAAAACCTCTTCACCAAGCCCTAGGTCTCCAAGAGTTTCTCCTAAAATCTTTTAAAAGTTTGTTTTCTAAAACACAATCTCCAAAAAGTTTTCTAGCTTTCCATTTAAGCCTATGATCCATTTTGAGGTAATTTTTTTATAAGATGAGATTTATTTATTTTGCCTTAGTGGTTATCTTACTTTCGACAGTCCCATTTGTTGAAAAGGGTGTCTGTCATTCATCCATTGAATTGCTCTTATGTCTTCCTCAAAAAAATCAGTTGGCCATACGTGTGGGGGCCATTTCTGGATTGTGTCCTGTGGATGTGCCTGTCCTTCCACCAGTACCACACAGGCTGATTAATGCAGGTATATAGAAACCCAGAGAAGCAATTCCTCTCTCAATCTATTTTTCTTTTTCAATATTGTTTTGGCTATTCCTGTTTCTTTGCTTTGCCATATAAATATTAAAATAATCTTGTTTGTTATCTACAAAAAAATACTGCTTAGATTTTGTGTTAAAAACCTGTATATTAATCGGAGTCAGTTGATGGTGCTTCATGTTGATCCATCCCTGTTGAGTCTTGTCATCGTGAACATCCTTTGTCTATCCCTTTATTATTTAGATCTTCTTTTATCAGCATTTTATAGTTTTCAGCATATAAATACTGGATATATTTTGTTATTATACCTAAATATTTCATTTTTTCTTTTTCTTTTGCAATTGTAAATGGTATTGTATTTTGAATTTTTGGCTTCCATGTGCTCATTGGAAGCACACTAGTACAGCTGATTTTTGTTATGTTGATCTGTTATTCTGTGATCTGGCTCAACTCCCCTATTAGTTCTAGGAAACTTTTAGAGATTCCTTGGAATTTTTCATGTAAATGATCCTTTATTTGCGAACATGTAAAGTTTTAAATTTTCTCCTTTCCAACTTTTCATTTCCTATTTCTTCTTTATTGTGCTGGCTGAACCTTCCCGAACTATGTTGGATAAGGATGGTGAGGACAGATATCCTTGCTTAGTCCCTGACTGTACATGAAWGGTGTTCAGATGTTCACCTAAGAGAAAGCTGCTAACCAAAGGTTTCACAGATGTTCTTTATCAAGTAGAGAAAGTCTTTATTCCATCATGAAAGTGTATCAAATGTTGTCAAATGTTTTTTCTGCATCAATTAATATCATAATTTTTCTCCTTTAGACTTATAATATGGTGGATTAATATTGACTGATTTTAAATTCTAAGCTGGCCCTGCATCCCTGGAATAAACTCTACTTGGTCATAGAGGGATTTTTACATATTGCTGAATTCCATTTCTCAGTATTTTGTTAAAAATTCTGGGATGAACTCAGTATATTTATGAGGAATACGTATGTCTGTAGTTTGTGTTTTGTATTGTCTGTGTCTGATTTTGCTATCACAACTTCAGCAGCAGGATTGAAAGTGAGTTGGGAAAGTGTTTCCTTGTTTTCTCTTTTCTGGAAGAAACTATGTAGAATTAGCATTAATTTTTCTTTAAACATTCAGTAGAATTCTTCAGTGAAACCATCTGAACCCTGACATTTCTTTCTGGAGAGTTTGAAAATTATGAATTAAATTTCCTTAACAGTTATAGGGCTATTCAAATTATTCATTTCATACTGAGTGAGTTATAGAATTTGTAGTTTCTGACAAATTGTCCATTTTATCTAAGCAGTTAAATCTGTAATATGTAGAGTGTTTACAGAATTCTCTCTCTCTTTTTTTGGTAGCAGGGATTGAACCCAGGARCACTTAACCACTAAGTCACATCCCCAGCCCTTTTAATATTTCATTTAGAGACAGAGTCTAAGTTGCTTCGGACCTTGCTAAGTTGCTGAGGCTGGCTTTGAACTTCCAATCCTCTTGCCTCTGGGAATACAAGCATGCGCCACTGCACCTGGCTTATGTGTGCTTTTTAAATTGAAACACTAAATAACAAGGAATAGCTAAAGGCTTAATAATTACTATAATTTTATGGTAATGATGAGTATAAGTGACAACTGGGGGTGTCTGCATCAAATGTAATGTGACATAAAAATTTCCTTTTGATTTTTTTCTTGGTGACAAAATCATAGGTATTACTAAAACTACTGTGGATTGTTACCTTAGATTGTTAACAAATAAAGGGAAATGACAATCTTCACTCAGAAATTAGTAAAAATAATAATGTAGTATTTATGCTCAATGAATCTTTTGAATTCCATCCATAAATGAACCTGTGGGATCCACGTTTAAAGCCCTGAAATAGAGGATCTCCTGCTGTAGGCATGTGCCTTTGGTCTAGTCCAGCTTGCCTTGTTTGGTCCTTCTGATGACTTAACCAGTGGAGAAGGGAAAACACCCCCAATCTGGGGGACAGCCAGTTCTTCTTCATTTTGAGCAAATCCTAACATCTAACCATATACATGATGAGTGTTCAGTGTACCTGGATCCTGCTGTTTCCCCAGTCTGCCACAATGATGTTTCCATTCGAATCCACTGCTACACCTGTGGGGGCATTAAACTGCCCATTTCCTTCTCCGTTGGAGCCAAACTTCAACATGAATTCTCCTTCCTGATTAAACACCTGTGGAAATATTTTTAAATTGTTTTACATTAAAATCACGGACCCAACATCAGGGACTTAAAAAATCTCTCTCTGAACAGGTTACTTGCAACAAAACCTGTAATATAAGGCATTCTGGGGGGAAAAAAGTAAATCTACAATCTGAAGCTGTCTATCACTTACGGTTCTTCAATGTACTACAGAAACCTGATTCATAATTTATTTAAGTCACTCTTCTCTTTTTTACGGTTTATATCTAGTTATTAAGTACTGATGTGAAAAATACTTTTGTTATAAATCATAAAATACAAATATAAGGTGGTATGAGTAAGTAGAGCTATAATTTTCAGCAATATTATTCTTTCTGACTTAAACAGCTCAATTTCAAGAATGGACATTGTATTTMCAGTGGGATAGAAAGTCATTCAGTTTAGACCAGAGAGGGGGGTTTTTGTTAGGTCAGAAAGCTCAGAATCTATTACTGTTTTCCTACATCACATAACAAGAAATCGGAGGCTGGACTCCATACAAGAGGAGATTCAGAGTGCGCGCGCGCRYGYGTGTGTGTGTGTGTGTGTGTGTGTGTGTGTATGCACAGCCACTTGCACAATGGTAGCAGGTGAAGAGTAAGCAAAGGACTTATTCCAGTTAATATAGGTAGTCTATATGATTCTACACAGAACCTACAGAGATTGTTAGAAGTGAGGGGATAAATAGAACGCTTTTTTCTTTTTGGTACTGAGGATTGAACTCAGGGGCACTTAACCACTGAGGCCCATCCTCAGCCCTTTTTTTATATTTCATTTAGAGACAGAGTCTTGCTGAGTTGCTTAGGGCTTTGCTAAGTTGCTGAGGCTGGCTTTGAATTCGTGATCAAGCAATGGGATTTGCTGTGGTTAAGTAAATATTTTTATTAATACAGTGTTACTATGTTATATATATATATATATGTTTGTGTATGTGTGTATACATATTTTATATATATCATATATAATACASAGTACTGATTTTGAGATAATTAACATTTTAATGTGTTAATGTCATCATTAACATTTTAATGATAACACTACAGTAAATATAATTCTATCTTGATGCTTAGATGATACTTAATGGTTCTGAAATGTCTCTTGAGACTTTATTTTAAACATCCATCACCATGATGTCTAGATGCACAGAGATAGTCACTAACAAATCCAAAAGGACTCCACTCCAGGTACCTTTAGAGTAGAGATGACTTAAACGTGGCCTGAGAAAGTTCACCATATGTGAGCGTAGATCTAATTTGAGGACGAGCTCAGAACCTTTGAGGACCTCTTTGTCTTCACAAGGAACAGACATAAGAACAACCAGCTTTCACTATGGCATTTTAAGTTTTCCCCGACTGAAGGCTGGGGTGTGGTTCAGTGGTACAGAACTTGCCTAGCACGGTCGTCCAGGACCTGGGTTTAATTTCYGGCACACACAACCCCTCTACCTCCCCAAAAATAAAGCATAAAAAAAGTACCCTGACTCTTTCTGTCACCTTTTATCCACATCCTTCTAATTTTAAAGACCAATGGGAACAAATAAAATATATAAAAGAAAAAGGCCAATGGGAACGTGTCTATGCTGTTGAAGACACATTTATTATTCTCTGATCTTTCCCTGATTAATTCCTACAAATAATAAGTTTGTTTGTTCTTATCTTTCTGAGTCACTGTATTTCCTTGGCATAACTGCTGCTTCTTCACATGAGAATAMTGGAGAATGCGGAATCTTGCCTTACTTGTTTTATAAAAAAAATAAAATATATACAGTCATCTCCCCTAATCTGGGGTTTTATTTTCTTCAGTTTCAGTTATCTATACCACTGGAGCAGGAAAATATGATGTGGAAAACTCCAGAAATAAACAATTCATAAGTGATAAGTAACTTCATATCATTTTAATTGTTCTATTCCATTATCAATGATTCCTGTTAATGGCTTATTGTGCCTTATTTATAAGTTAAACTTCATCATAGGTATAAATAAGAAAAATATAGTATTTATATAGAGTTTGATACTGTATAGTTTTGGGGGCTCCCCCRGGGGTCTTGGAACTATTCCCCAATCATGTACTGCAGGGGCTGGGAAGTGTAGCTCAGTGRTAGAGCACTTGCCTAATGTGTGAAGGCCTGGGTTCAATCCCCAGCATGAGGGGGGGAAAAGTACTGTCAATAGCTAAAGAACTAACTAGAGCAGACTTACTTGGCAGCACTGACTTATGAGTACAGTTTTTACATTTACCAACAGAGAAGTGACCAGAGTTCAGAACTACTGCTGCCACGTGGGAAACCAAAGAGCCCACGTATTTCAGACAAGTTGCACGTCAGTAGCTATCAGAGAGAAGAGAAAAACAAAAGGCTATGACTTTCTTAACTAAGAAGAAAACTGGGTTTAAAGAATTAAAATAATCTATCTCTACTGTCTTGAGAACTTGGTGAGTTTTCAGAACTTTAATGACTATAAATTTCTCATATTTTGTTTTCCATCTAAAAGTCATTGAATTACTTACAAATGATTCAGATGAAAACATATTAAGAGGCAGAAATATGAGCTAAGATTTTTACAACTTGCTCTTTGTTAAGTATTTATAGCATTTAAAAAAACCTGACAATAATTCTTTCTTTTTTTTTATTATTAGTTGTTCAAAACATAATAATTCTTTCTTGATTTCAAAATCTTCATCATGTCAAATACCTGAATGATATGAAAGTTTTTCTTGATAACCCTAGCCCTAATTATACAAATACATTCTCTCTCTCTCTCTCCCCACCCCCCCCAAGAGCTGGGCCCTTGGCCTCCCAAATACTTCCAACCTCCTATAAATCTTTTCTCTGGAATCATGAATTTTACACATCCCTATTTTTATGAAATCATTATTGCTGTCTGCCTAGCACTTTGGTTACTTACAYATGTTTCGTTTGTTTCTAGAGTGTCAGGACCGATTAATAGGAGCTGTCCCACTACAAACTGTTGATCCATAGAGGCTGCCCGGAGCATAGGACAGGAAAGACTCTGAGGCCACCAAGTAGCTTGGTGGAAAAGAGCAACTGGATTGATCATTGTCTTCAGGCGGGTGGGTGGGAGGGCAGCACTTACGCYAGGCATTTGCTAGCCTCTGCCCCTGTGAGGATCTTTCTGGGTTTTGCTCTTGTTGAATGCCCTGGAGCTAAACAAATGGTTCCTCTATGGAGTGATGGAGGGTAGGAAGAAGGATCACAGCCTGTGTTCTAAAAAGTGTCAATCAGAGCTGATCAATAGAAGCTGTCCCACAGCGACCCCCTCACAGAAATATGAGCTCATTCTACAGCAGTGTTATGGCCCCTGAAGATAGGTACATGCTCACTTCCTGATGCCTTTTTGCTATCCTCCTCCTCCTCTTCCTCCTTCTCCCCCTTCCCCCTCCCCCTCCTCCTCCTCCACCCATCCCAGTGGAATTTTCCTATCATCCTCTTCTTTTAGACACCTCCCTTAGAGTGGGACCACAGGGAACGCAGCTTATCTGCAGTGGGTGTAGGGGGCGCTCTACCACTGTATGAGCAACCCTGGAGACAACATGGCAGAGAATTGCCATAATAAGGCAGGCAAAGGTGGACACTCTCTGCCCTCATCCTGCCCCATGTCCCTGGCTTACTGTGCTCTACTCTTTGCACAAGAGCTGACATTCATCAAAAAAAGCTCCATGACTTTCCATTTACTCAGGTTAAGGAGATCTTCCAGGATCGGCTGGGAAATGAAGCAATTAAGAAGAACTTCTGAGCATTAAAAATCCTACTCCTTACCTGGCTATTCCAGTTACCAGCACAGAAAAGTAATTATTAACTTTGGTTGCTCAGCGGTTGTCTCTAAGTGCAAATATTAGTCATTGGCCTACCACTTATGCTGTTTCCTTATTTTTCCATCAAAATGACTCACTTTTAAACACTTAAATGAATTTATAAGAAAAACTTTGGATCAGTTTTATGAGTACAAACAGTACCACTTGATATAAAAGAAGGAAACCCTAAAAATATTTTTCTTCTTTTTGGTAGTGCTAGAGATCAAACCCAGGACCTCGGGCATAATAGGCAAAAACTCTACCACTGAGCTACATCCCTAGTCCTAATCATCCTAAAAATTAACACATTAAAATATGTCAATAAATAGTAAGATTTATAAAAACCAAATATGTGTGTCAGRGCACTGCCATGGCCACCTGACATACATCAGTGGTCAAGAAGATCAATAAGTGTTTTCTCGTCATAAGAAATATGCCTGAGTTACCTTATTAGTTCTTGATTTTCCTCATAATAATGTTTAAATTTCCCTCTTCCTGTACTCAGTAAGAAGGATGTACTATATTATTTAAAAAGGCCATTATTTTCTAAGTAATACCAAATGTGTGAAGGTATAACTATGAAATATACCATACGAATATACATAATTCCTAACCCACTTCCCCCAAGTCTGTTGTAGCACAAATCTAATAGATTTTATTTTAAAGGCATTTTGGTTCATGAAAATTTAAAAAAATGTTTTTTGTTTTAATCTGTCRGATAGCCACAAAATATTAAGTTTCAGAAAGTTCTGTTTCTACATTCAAGAAATTGTTTTTTAAAACTTAATTTTCAGGTCATCTTTGATAAATTTTCTAATCATCTTTAATAAAGCAACTGCCACTGTATTTTGTTCAATTCCCTGACTCTTTGAAGTCTGTATGTCCACATGAAAATCTGCATTTTTTAAGCATAAGCAAAATCTACTCATTTGAGGTTGATTTCCTTAAATTCTGTGTGTCTATGTAAGTATTGTATGTTGTTCTCTCCCAATTTCTCCATAAAAGCAGCTTAAAAAAAAAAAAAGTAAACAACAACTGATGTGTTCATAGTACCTTGACAGAATGATTATGGAAATCTGTAACAATAATCTCATTATTGCTATTTACAGCTGCAAAATGAGGACCTGCAATAAAAAATGGAAAAAAATTATGTAATGACTACAACAACAAAAATAATTGCAACAGAGCAGTTACTATAACAATAACAAACTGAATACATTAACTTGATTATTTAAGAAAGAACAAATAACCAGAGACCCCCATCCCTGCATGATCATATAGCCAGCCCTTTGTGCTCTAGATAATGTGGATCCTATGTTATTCTGCACTTGGGATTGTCTAGTCTGACTTCTCCCGGATCAAGCAAAGAGTTCCAGCAGCCCTAACAAAGTAGGACCAGCAGTAAGCATCAGAATTCATTCTCCACACCATCATCTGAAAGTCACACCTGCCAGCTTCTCTGAATACATTAGTCTTTTTTTAGGATCCTAAAAAAAAAAGTGTTTATTAAGGAAAGATATGAGGACACTTAGCCCTGGAAAAGAGACTCCAGTATGTAATTTTTCTTTTCTAAAAAATTGAGCAGGAAACCCACTTTCATAATTTGGAGTGACATTCAGAACCTGGCAGGACAAAGAACTGGAGACAAAGCCACAAAGAAAGATTATGCAAATGAATGTAAAATGCCCAAAGCATCCTTTCAAAATGAAAATGAACTGTGTTCAGCCTCTTCTTGCAGATGTGAGAAAACCGAAGCTTGTGATTGCTAAGTGGCACTCCCAGAAGAGAAGTAAGAGACTTCCTCCCTGCACTTGGCAAACATTCTGAGCCCTTGTTCTCATAATCACTTAGGTGAAATAAATTCCAACCAGAGGCTCTTTAAATAAAAATTCAGTATGGAAAACAGGAGTTAYTCCATTGTTCCTCAAAGAGTTTTATTTTTAAAATGTTTTATTTTAAATGCATATTTTACCTAACAAAAATATTTAAGGAGCAGACTTGTGCACTGTGAATTGGGACCCCACAGCAACCACACATGAACTGCAGTCTGACTTACTGGTGGAGTAACTGAAAAGCATCTAAGCATGCTTCAGCTTAGATTTCATCCCCAGCATCTTTCCCCAAAGCCAGCAAACACACTGGGGATGTGGCGTCTTCAACATGCTCCATCATGCAAATGTGAGCAGAAGAAGCATAAAAAAGGGGGTTTACATATTACCGTGGAGTGTACCTGCAAACTGCCTGTCCCCGTTTCCTCGGCTACCAAACCTGGTGACTATTTTCCCATTTGGTTGGAAGATAAACACGCAGCATGCTTTGTTGTCCACCACGATAATGTGCCCGTTGCGGTCCACAGAGACTCCTTTGGGCCCCATCAGCTTTCCCGATCCAATTTTTGTCTGTTAGAAACAAGTGCAGAAATTGAGTACAGACCTCAAAGTTTAAAACACTAGAGAACATGAAGTTAGACACTGTTTCAGTAAACATTGGCTCCAATGTTCAGGCCGCACAGGTACTCAGGCACCCAGTGATCTCTGTCTCAGCAAATTGGCTTTGTCACATCTAGTATCTGCTATGAGTATTTATATGAAAATGTTATTTTTTAAAAGGGATCGCCACCACCAAAAATGTTCTAGAATTTCCTAGTCTGGGGTCACAATGCCCTCTTCTAAAGAGGTGGTGTGGTTGAGTGACAGGTCACTGGGTTAAGAGTCAGAGAATTGTCCTGCTGCTGTCACCTGCTTTCAGCACCCCCGATGTGGCCCAAATTAATTCCTTTAATTTCCAGATTTCTTATCTATTAAAAAAAGTCAAAAAACCCCCACCAACCTTAATAACTTWCAATGGTACTTCTGGAATATGTGTTAAGTAAAATAATATAGGTAGGGCTGGGGTTGTAGCTCAGTGGGAGAATGCTTGCCTAGCATGTGTGAGGCACTGGGTTCGATTCTCAGCATCACATATAAATAAAATAAAGGTACATTGACAACTAACAAAAATTAAAAAAAAATAATAATGTAGGTAAAGRGTTTAATGTAGAGCACACAGTAAGCACTCACTAAAAGGAAGCCATTGTTGCTATTGTTACCTAGCACTCTTGATGTTGAAACTGCCAGGCATCTGCCACTGACCTTGACTAGAATTCAGTTCCACATGAGTGGAAGTCACATCTGTTTTATCCACCACTTCCTGGTGTATAACAGGTACTCAACAAGTATTTACTAAATAAACTTTAAAAGACTAGATTATTAGTGGGTAACATGATGAAATGGTTTCACTCTTCACTTTATTTTAAAAGGACAGAAAAGCATGAGATTGCTATCAACCATATATCATAAACACTTTAAGTTTCATTCATGTTCCTGAATCAATTAAATTCAGTGAATACATAAATGCATGTTGGAGATGCACTTTAACTTAGTCTMATTTTTCTACCTCCATTTTAGAGTGCTCATAAAGAACTGCTTCACGCGCTTACCTCTACTTACTAGCTCTACAGACCTGAGCACCCACCATGTACTCAATATTGTGTTCCAGGCTTGTGGTAAATAAACACAGATAAGACACAGCTTCTGCCTCAAGGATGTCTCTGTCACACTGGCACCCACGCCTCAAGCGTCAGAGGGAAACACATCTATGTGTTTTTATGAGAGCTCTTTCAGCTATATTATTGAACAAAGCAAGGTATTGAGTAGGGAGTACAGYCTTGAGTCCACTTGGGTTAAGTGTATGCACACAGGCATGTATGTATAGTCAGCCCAAGCATCCTGGGCTCTGCAAATGCAGGCTCAACAAATCTCAGATTGAAAATATTCAGAAGACAAAAGAAAAAAGTCTGCGTGTGTGCTGAACTTATACAGATTTTTTTTTTTTTGGTCACTATTCCCTTAACAATATAGCATAACACTATTAACATTGCCATTTACATTGTAGTAGGTATTATAAGTGATTTAGAGATGATTTAAAATATACAGGAGAATGTGACTAGGTTCCATGCAAATTCTACACCATTTTATCTGAAGGACTTGAGCATCTTCAGGTTTGTTATCTAAGGGGTGGGAGGTTGCTGGACCCAATCCCCCAGGGACACCAACGGACAATGGTACTTCTGAAAGGAAAAGTGAGAAACCAGTGTCTCTACCTTAGAAAGCTGTATCAGTGGTGGCAGGAGGCATACTCACTGTTCATTTTATACTCTTAGGCACATTTTAAAAGCCTATTTGCATGTATAACTTTTTAAATTAAAAATTAACAAACCCCTCATAACATTCTCATAGGTTCGACCCCAGACCTCTAAATTTACTAGCAGAGGGTGGGTGCTTTCTCATAGTAGGGATTCAGATTTGGTACAACCCTTTATTCTTCCAAGTTTATAAATGACTGAGATTCAGATTTAATCTCCCTGGACAAAGGGACACAACCAGAGCAAGGAAACCCTGGTTTTCTTGGCAAGGGAATCTGTTGTGTAAATTTGATTCTGATTCTGCAATCTAGCCCAGAGATCAAAGAAGCTACAGCATAATGGCATGTAAAGAAATGGCATAATTCCTTCATGTCTGAATGGAAGGGAMGTCAACAGAGATCAAAAGCAGAGCCGGCAATCTGATTACCACCACCCGATGTTATGAACGCTAGCAGTTACTTAGAATGACGCAACCACACAATACCTAATGGATAACTACCTAGAACAAAAACGGACAATAAGGTATGCCCTCCATTCTGTCATGTAATGGCCACCAGGGTGGACCTAAAAGAACTAGTTACATGTTGAACCCAAACTTCTTTTCCTCCCACCTTCCACCATCACTCTGGTTTTGCTACACTGGATTCTACCAGTAAAATAAAAATCATCTGGATTGACTACGTCCCCTCTGTTAGAATAAAAAGCAAAAACCTCTAAACTGGCTTTGGAATGATCAAATGAGAGTATTTAACTGAACAATTAAGTTCTTAAATCGAAGAGGGAAGAGACGAGCTATTTTAGAATATGGCGGCCATGGGGACCACCACCATATTTGTTCTGTGTTTGTTTTGATCACAAAGGTTCCTGGATGGACTAGAAGATTCAAGCCAGGAGGGAAGATGAAAAGGAAAAACCTTAAAGGAGGCAGAGAGGAATAAAACTTGAGACAAGCAATCACTGAATAAAAGAGAGGGAAAAAAAATAAGATGTTACATCTCTGCAACTATTAGGAATGAATAGAAAGAATCTGCAATGAGGTTAAAGATGTCTTTCACTTGTTTAACTTTACCGGAGGAAAAAGAGCAACAATATCTTGATAGTAAGATTTCACACTTGAATGAACTCTATTTGTAATACTAAAGTATTTTTGCTTGCTATCCTTTTACCATTGGGTTCTGATCAGCAATCAGAGTATTGCAGAAACTATATCATATCCAATTTCCCATTCCTCCAGAGGGTGAGAGTGGTTTTTAGTATTTATTCCAACTAATACCAATATTATTCCAAGTCCAAGCCTCCAGTTCTTCCAAGAAGAGTGTATATAATACATAGTAATATACATGTAATATAGTATATATTACATAGTAAAGTATATACTACTCTTCCAAGAAGACAGTATATTACAGTAGATTATTGAACAGTGGTATACACAAAGCTTACTTGAGGAAAGGCTTCTCTCTTAGATATCAAACTCCTGCCTTCGTATGTGAAGCCTATTTCAGTTTTAGCTACTGAAGGTACAGACAGACCATGATTTTTCTGGAGTCTGAAACAAGAACAAACAGGTTGCCTCCAAACTACATGAAGGCTTTGGAGAGGTCACTCAAGAGTTTTCATTGCATCCATATTAGAGTTGTCACATCTGGGTATGTCTTACCCAAGTATGATGACAAAACACTAACRAGCAAACTTTGTGCCATCATCAGGGAACCAGAATGGGTCATGAAAAGTGGCCTCTCTAGAGTATTAGGTTGGAAATAATGACCCCCAGGAGTCCACATGACATCCTGGAGTCAAAATCATGGCTGCTCAAACAGCCTTCATTTTTTTTTTGAATGGGGTTATGAAAGGCATGGAAAAGAACATTTCTTAGATATCTATTTAGTATGAAGCACTTATGACATCCAGAAATAAAACCTCATTTAGTCCTTACTCAGATCCTATAAGTTTTTTTTAATCCAAATTTTAAATATGCAGCTGCTTGGGGCTGGGGATGTGGCTCAGCGGTAGCGCGCTCGCCTGGCATGCCTGGCATGCGTGCAGCCCGGGTTCAATCCTCAGCACCACATACAAACAAAGATGTTGTGTCTGCCGACAATTAAAAAAAAAATATTTAAAAATAAATAAATAAATAAATATGCAGCTGCTGAGGTTCAAGGAAGTTTCATAATTTGATGAAAGCCAAAGAATTAATAAGCCAGAGAGCTGGGTTTCTAGTTGCTTGATTTGTCTGARTAAAAGTTCATACTGTCAATTCAAACAGAAGTCTCTAATAGTTTGAATAAGGGGAATATGGAAGGCATAATATATAAGGTCTTCAAAAAGACCTTTAATGTACAAAATGGACTGGATGATAACAATTCTGGATGACACCKTGGAAGAGAGATTTCTGTTATTACCACTGGGCTGTCTTTGGTGACTCACTGAAGAAATAGAAGCTGTGATGGTTTGGATCTTTCACCAGCATGTGGTGCTGTTGGGAGCTAGGGCCTAGGAGGAGGAAGTTAGCATTCAGGATGTACCTGTGAAGGGGATACTGGCTCCTTCCTCTTTTTTTCTGCTTCCCTGCAGCTATGAAGTGAGCAGTTTCCTGTGTCCTGCTTACCCACTGTGATGATTCCACAATGGGTATAAAACCACAAGGCCAAACAACCAGGGACRGAAGCTTCCAAAATTATAAACAAAAATGGGTCCCACTTCCTCTTAAAGTTGACTTTCTCAGGTATTTTGTCACAGCAACAGAAAGCTGACTAACACCAAAACCATTTTTACATTTCCATAAATATGATAGTGGGAGTAATAGCCAACAGGTCAAATGATGGCAGGATCTCTCAGAGTGTAGCTCAACCTGCATCTTTTCTTTAAGTTCAGCCTCCATTTTCTTTTCCTTTCAAATCTATGTTCCTTAGCACAATGTTTTTAGATGGTATGAAATAACTTATGACTGATTGGAGGCTGCCATAAATTATTTCCTGTCCTTTCTTGTATATTTATCTTTTTTCCTCCCTGAGCCTATACATTTTTTAGAAGGCAGAAACCATGTCTTATGATTCTGTTTCATTCTGTTTCTTCCATGTCATCTGTTTCAGGCCTGAGAAAGTAGAAGGTACTTCTATGTGACAAGTTATAGGTTAATGCAAGGGTATAAATTGCTTCTTCCTAACCCTTTTCAAAAGGATGATGTTTTTCATTGAAATGGGGTCATAAGGACAGTTTTCCTCTAAATCTGGTTAAAAAAAAGTACCTGTGCAAACTAATTGCTCTATAAAACAAAAACACATTTATGAGCATCTATATGAGCAGGTTTATAAAAACAATCATTGTTATTCTCATTTTACAAAATTTAGATGTCAGAATGTCTTTGTGTAAGAAGAATTGTTGAACATTGGATTGGATTTAAAAAAGAAAAAAAAAGACCATTTCAACTTTTATTTTCTATTTCTTCTTCTCTATGGTTTAGTGGTCTATTGATACTTGAGCTTACCTTAAACTTTCCATCGGATGAGAAGATGCTAACCCACTTATTATCATAATCTGCAATGATTATGTCCCCACTGGGGTGCACGGCTACTCCTGTGGGCCTCTGCAGCTGCCCGGGAGAGCGTCCTCGTATGCCAAAACGACTCTTGAACTGGCCATCGTTGGAAAATATCTGTAAAACAATTTATGTTGATTAGAATGTTCACAGAAACCACTCAGGAAAAAACAGGCAAGGAAATCTGTCATAGATACTATAGTTCAGAACATGCCCTCACTGTTTAAGAAAAGCCTATAGACACATTAAAAGGCTCTTGGGGCTGGGATTGTGGCTCAGCRGTAGAGCGTTCACCTAGCACATGAGAGGCCCTGGATTCGATCCTCAGCACCACATAAAAATAAATAAATAAAAAAAAGATACTGTGTCCAGTGACAACCAAAAAATAAATACTAAAAAAAGGCTCCTTCCTTAAGTACATGTCTGTAGACACAAAGGATGTGACTCCACATTGTGTACAACCAGAGATATGAAAAACTGTGTTCTATACGTGTAATATGAATTGAAATGCATTCTGCTGTCACATATAACAAATTAGAATAAATTTTTTAAAAAGAAAACAACCACTAATTTAAAGGCAGCATTAATCCGTATGGTTTAATTAATTTYAGCATAAATTTATTCTGGAATAGTACTGTGAAGATCTGTTCAGACTATTAAAAAGATAAATGTGAAATGAACACAAAAAGGTTCTTGTCTTATGGGAACTGAGTGACTGAAATGAATTGCGATAGCAGTCGCTTGGGTTAGAGTGGCCCGTAAGTGGTGTTGTAGAAAGGTCAGTTCAGTTGTCTGCCTGTCAGCAGTGTTATTTGCCAGGTTGTCTAGATCTGGTTTGGGCCTTAGCATACGATGAAGCTCTTTCATTTTCTCTACACACATGCGGCACATGTTGAAAGATAACACATCATATGTTGTCGTCTTATGAACTCCTTATAAAATTCTTTTAGATGTTCTAAAATGTATATTAACATTATGCATGCATTTATATAAGATACCTAAAAAAAAATGCTCTGCTAAATGGTTAAAGTACATAACAGATTTGTTGATAATTTATGCAATGAATTAATATTCTAGATTATTTTAAAGATATAATTACTTATTTCCAGATTCTATAATCTGATTATAACCAATATAAAAATTTATATTGTTTATTTTGATTTTGTTCTACATTTACACATCAAATTAAAGGATAGAATATGTGTGAATGAACATGAAAAAAAAAGGCTCTTTGCTTGTACTATGAATCTTAAGTCTAAAGTAGGAAAATATGTAACTCTAATGGTTTTATTAATATAAGTAGTTAAAGGTACACAGTAGGGACTCTACCTGGACACATTGGTTGTTACTGTCTGCAATTAATATCTTTCCAGTTGTAGATGCAGCTACCCCCTGAAGATTTGTAAACTCTCCTTTATTTCTTCCTTTGGTACCTAAAAATAAATGATAAAAGCACAAAAATTAACCACAAKAGAATTTGATTTCTCAGTTTCAGAAAGGAATAACTCAAGCTTCCATTGATAATCTGAGAATTCATTGTTTTTATTTAATATTTCCTTTTCTTGTAGGGCTAGGGATTGAATCTGGGGCCTTATGTGTGTTAGAATGAGCTATACAATCCCCAGCCCCTACACTGTGTTTAAATAATACTTTTTTAAAAAATGAGAACCCTTCCACCTTGACTTAACCCATATGCTACTGAACTTCTCTTCCAGACCAATAAAGTTTTTGCAAGATCACTATTTTAGGGCTGGGGTTGTGGCTGAGTGGTAGAGTGCTTGCCTAGCATGTGTGCGGCACTGAGTTTGATTCTCAGCACCACATAAAAATAAATAAATTAAATAAAGGTCTACCAACAACTAAAAAAACAAAAATTTTAAAAAATCATTTTTTAGGCAAATGCAACCTTCTCATATTAATCTATACGWGCATATTTACTTGATTAAAACATACCAAATTCCATAAAGACATAATAATAATAATGAATATTCCAATCAATGAGAAACAACAAGAGAGGAGCTTTACTTTAGGAATTTTGTCAAAACTCTACCTTCTTACTCAGTAGCTCTTAGAAGAAAACTAGACCCTTGATTTTCAGAGCATTTAACAAACCATAAGACCACAGATAGTATGAAAGGGCAGCTGATTTTCATATACTGGATCCATTTATGCATTATTTTCTAAGATTCAAGATCTCAATAACTGTGTATTCTTCCTAAAATTACAAAAGGTATTCCAACAGGGTACTTTCCAGATTAAGTAAATTAGAAAGACAAAGGGAAATTAATACAAGGAAATATTCTCACCTTTTTTTTTTTTTTATTGGTACTGGGGATTGAACCCTGGGGCACTTTACCATTGAGCTACCTCCCAAGTATTTTTATTTATTTATTTATTTTCAATTTTTTAATGGTACTGAGGATTTAATGCAGAGGCATTTCATCATTGAGCTACAATCCTAGCCGTTTTATTTTTTTATTTTAAGACAGGGTCTCATTAAGTTGCTTAGGTCCTTGATAAATTGCTGAGGCTGGCCTTGAACTTGTGATCCTCCTGCCTCAACCCTTTGAGTGGCTAGATTTAAGGGAATGGACCACTGCCCCCAGCTAGACTCTTTTTTTAAAGGAACAGATAAGGCAGAGGGAAGAAAAGCAATAGCATCTATAGGTTAACAGTTATCTGTTTTTGTTTCAAAAGATGTTTTTATAATTTACTTCAATAGAACTATATAAGTATCAATGGATGGAAATAGAGTAAGCTTTGTTCCAGAACAAATGATCCAGAAGGAGGTGTAAATTTTAATTGCTTGAGAAAGAAAACTATGTCTTGGGTTTTATAACTGAGTTTTATACTCAAAAGAGCCATTTGATGATTTTGTTTTTAGACATCAACACAGTGCCTTAGGAAGGAGGACAAGAGGACCCGTACACAAGGACCCACCGAGGCTGGCTGACGTCTAACACCTGCAGAAGTGCCACCTGGGAATCCTGAGCATCAGCTCTCCTGAAACAGATTTTTGGGTTTAAGAAATGAATCTGGTGATGGATTACAGCAGAGCTGCTTGGATCTCAAATGGGCTGGTTCTTACCAGACCCACATGGCCGTCACCTGATTGAAGTCACATCAGGTCTGTTCACTACTTCTGCATCTCGTCTACTCTCACTAGGATGAAAGGAAACTTGTGAGGTCCAGCTCCTCCAAAGAGCTTTTCCTACATTGTGAAGGAAACCAGGTACATTTTATTTCAAATGTACCTGAAGAGAGGATTTTTTATACTTGATCCACACAGAATACCCTGGATACACAGGAATATGGCATCAGGGAACATGCTTTAAAAATGATATGCTGGAGCCGGACATGGTGGTGCACACCTGTGTTCCCAGGTACTTAGGAGACTGAGGCAGAAGCATCACTTGAGCCCAGGAGTTCAAGGCCAGCCTGGGCAACACTGCAAGACCCCCATCTTTAAATAAATAAATAACGTGTGGAGGCATCTGGTGGTAGAAGGCAGARGAAGGGGTGGTTAGCCCTTTAAGGGGATGTGTCCTAACGTGTTATTCATTTTTGGTCATTTCTACTGATTTCTATATAACTGAGCAACAGATACAGCACAACTGAAGGACCACAAAAAGGAAGAGTTCTACAACATTCAGCCTAGAAATACTGTTAAAAGATAGTAGAGGAAAGGTCAGGACTTCCAAAGAATAAAAATAAAAAAATTTCAAAAATATTTAATAAGCAAAAGCAGTGAATTTTGCAAAACAAGGAATGCACAGCCAGTTAAAGAAACATAGTTGAAAGAAGAGTCTTAGAACTCCCATTGGAACATGAACAAAAGAAGAAGTAACTCTGTAAAGAAAACCCAGGCTGCTGTAGATCGTTGCTTACATAGAATTGGAGGTGCATCTGGGGCTTGGAGGGCGCAGAGGTACAGGTAAGAAATACTGAATGTTGGGACCAATGTGATTCTGCAACCTGTACACTCAGAAAAATGAAAAATTATACCCCATCTGATTCAAATGTATGATATGTCAAGATCATTGTACTGTCAAGAGTAACTAATTAAAACAAATTTAAAAAAAGAAAAAAAAAGAAATACTGAATGTTGGGGCTGGGGCTCAGTGGTAGAGCGCTTGCTCATCACCAAGTAAAAATAAAAAAATAAATAAAATACAGATATTATTTACAAGTAAAAAATATTAAAAAGAAAGAAAGAATGAAATGTAATGGGAGGGGGCACAGGAAGACCCTGGGTGGAGTAGAGAAACACTGACTTGCTGTGCTTTTGGTCCAGGTAGCAACAAAATGCCTGCAACCCTCCCTCATTTGATCTTCTGTCTGTTACTAAAGACAAAGCTCTATCACTCAGAAAGACTCTGCAGGCAGCAGCAGTAGATAAAAGAAAAGGGGGAAATGGAGAAAATAGTTAAGTAGAAGTCAGAAAGATCCTGCTTGCCTTCTGGAATCATGGAAGTGATGCTGCAAGACAGAGGAAATAGAGAAATAAAAATGCACTTTTGTGCGTGTGATGTGGAGACATAAACATTCTTTTTGAGCCTTAGTAGAATTGGAAATATTTGCATTTGGAAGACAATTAGACTCCCTACTAATACTGTTGAGACTCAGGGGAAGGAAAGCCTATGTCCACCTGATGTGAGGGGCTCGGTAGCTGCCAGTACTAGGTCACCAGAGCAATGGAACTAGGTCGCAAGTGAACACGCTGCTGCAAGAGTGTGTACTTACAAGTTTTTTTTCTGTCTACTTTGATGTCAAAGATTTCATTTGATGGTTATCCAGCGGCTGGAAAAATGAATAATGTGAATTTTGAAAGGATCTATGAACAATTTAGCAATAATCCCATAAGGTCATTAAAGGAGTTTTTCCAGATGCTAAACTAATCTATGAAGCATAAAGTGAAGTTTTAAGTCCAAAGCTTGTCACCCATGTTCTTCCGGGTCACTTCTACCTGCCCTTCCAGGAGGATGACAGAAGGAAGGTGAGCCCGTGCATTGAAATAGGGATCAACAGATGCAGTTTTCCTCTCACTACCCACTCCAACGTAGTGTGAAAATTCATGCTCAATAAAGCAAAAATACTCTGAATGGAATAGTGCAACAAAATCTAACTGAGCCACATGTCGACTCTAACAGTTTGGTCAGCCATGCAGGTGGGTCACAAATGCTTGCTGAATGAACGAGTGCGGAAAAAGACAGGCCACGTTACAGCATGGGAAAATGAAATATTTGAATGTGTTCATAGCACTTCATGTACATTATCTCATGAACTCTTTATAATAATCCCATGAGTAAGTAGAACAAATACTATCATTTCCACTTTATAGATGAGCAAGTTAAAGCTAGCCACATCACACATGTAGTGAGTGACAGTGGGAAGAATAAAACCGGGTTCTCCTGACCCTTTATGTAACAAATTTTCCAACATATACATTGCTTCTTTCTAATTAGACTTTAAAATACCAGGTTTCAAAGGTAAAGGTAATTATGCTCTGGGCTCATGCTGGTCATATTTTTCTATTAATATCCTTTAGAAAACTCCATCCCTATCACACAGCATTTTAACTGCCTTTCTGTACTCCTGGCTAGACTGTAAGCTCCCTGAGGCCAGGAGCAGCATCTGCCCTATTCACTGCAGCACTCTATACTGCGGTGCTAAGGTGAGGATCTTGAATGTCTGGGCCCCCAGCCTGTGGTGCTATTAGGAGGTGGTGGAACCCTCAGGAGGTAGAACCTCATGGCAGGAAGTCAGGTCATCGAGGACATGCCTTGGGCCGGGGTGATACTGGAACCCCAGGGGTACTGCTTCCTCACCGCCATGAGGTAAGCAGCTTCCTTCACAGCTGCTTCCTGGCCACAGGCCCAAAAGCAAAGAAGCCAGATGACCATGGACTGGAATCTCCAAAATGAAGAGCCAAAATAAATCTTTCCTCTTTTTTAGTTGATTATAATCATGGAGTTTGTTATAACCATGGAAAGCTGACTAACAAGGATGAGATTCTTGAGGGGTGGGGCAGGGTTCCTATAATGACCTTAGATGTCAAATCAGCATGACCTTCCTCCTCACATATTTTAGGGAGAGGGTGGTGGCTTGCTGAGGTAAGGCAGGGGTAAATGCATCTTCCTCTGAATGCATGCTAAGTGGCTTTACACACCCATTTTAAATTACACCGTTGCAGAGTACAAATGAGTGTTCCATTCAACTCTCCATCAACATATAAAGGTATGGCGTATGAATCACACAATTTCAAACAATTCAGTTGTAATTCTTCTCCTCCCCCCCACATCTTCCAGTTCCCCTGTTGCTCAATGACTTTCTTTTTTTTTTAAATATTATTTTACACTTGATTTATTACTTTTTTATTTTTTTTTAAAGAGAGAGACAGAGATAATTTTTTTTAATATCTATTTTTTTTTTT